TGGTTACAACGATAACTCTTTTCCACCTGATCATTCCATACGATACCTCACGGACTACCGCTTTAGTCTACCTCGCCTTAGTACGGACCGAGCCTAGAGAAGTATAGCCTGACCCCGTGTAACAGATGTGTGTGAGAGCACAAAGTTTCTGGGCGTACAATCAGAATAATTTTCAAAATCGCTGTTCATACGAGTGAAATTAGAAACATTCACAGGTAAATTGCTGGAATGCTCTACAAGACGCACTTGGATAAAAAAAACTGATCATCTACGCTTGGTACATCAGAACCCACAAAAGCACTCTCTATCTACTCGGTCGTCACACGCATGGTGGACATGTGCTGAGCAGCATTCATGCGCCAAAGAGTACCACGATGGCGTGATCATTTCTGTTCTCGCACGTATAAGTCTGATAGGATCTCAGATTCGGAACATATAATTCAAGCGAGCTAGAAGTCGCAGCGAGATGGTCTTGAGGCGTCTATACAGCTCTTGTCTTCTAGGTCGCTTCTACTCTACCGGAGAGCTGCAGCTGCAGCCGCAGCTTCCTTATCAGCAGCCAGAATCTTCTGTATAGCTGGTCTTGTCACGCAGCGATCCCACCAAGCACTCACCGCCTTGCGACTTCGTATCACGTCGCCATACCCACACACAAACAATCTCTGCATCAATGGAATATAGTTGATATCCGCGAGCGAAAAGTCATTTCCAGCCATGTAGTCTCTATCCCGTAGCAGGCGATCCGCCACGTCCAAGAACGCTTCAAGCGACCGCAGTGCGTCCGAGACGACGGCTTCGTTGGGAGCCTGTCCCGCGTACTTCTTCTTGACAAACATTTCAAATGCGATTTTACCCGCGGGATCGGCAAAGTAGAGTAGTTCTGTTGATTCTGCTTGGTCGAAGAGCGCGGCGGCCTCGAAGTCGTCGGTGCTGCTGCCAACCTGCGGCACAAGTGGGAACGAGTACTTCCTCGCTAGATATTTGCAGATTGCGCGGCTTTCGTAGAGAGCGAAGCCGGAGGGGAAGGTGACTGCGGGGACTTTACCCCATGGGTGACGCTTCATGTGTTCTTGGGACTGCGTTTCAGGTAAATGTCAGCGTTGGACAATCTTTGCACGCATCTGAGGCAACAAGTCATGTCGTTCTGAAAAATAATAATGTGGTATACTCACCTTCTGCTCGCCTTTCTGCAGGTCCACAAGCACAAGCTCGTAGTCCGTAAAGCCACCTTCGGCAAGAGTCAAGCGAACACGATCCGTGTTTGTCGAACCGCGAGAACCATATAAGGTAAAAGCTGGCATTTTGAGAGTGTTGCAGCGGTTTTGATCTTGGCACCGGGGTTGTTCGTGGTGAAGCTTCGACAGATGCAAGTACTTCTCTCGAGAGGTCTTGGGCCAGTCACCACAGTATATATGTCGATATAGACGCTTCGGCTTCCGTGCAGCGCGAAGTGTTAGGCGCTGAATGGGTATGATTGGTGGGATCGATCTCGTACAACCCGACTGGGTTAGCGCTGATGCTCGCCTTACCAGCGACACACTTCATGCGATGTGACACCAACTCACTAGCCTCTTCATTGCGGTGTTGAGTCAAGATCAATCATCTAATTCGTCTGTTCGTACATTTTGCTTTCTGCGACCCAAACAATGGGGACTGAGGAGGGTTGAGGGCTGGTTCGACGTAAGAATGCATTGATCCTTCTACTCACTGAAAGCATCTCTCCCCGCCTCGCATGTACGTATCATATCCACCAACAGTGCAATATCTAAGATCGTCGAACGACGCTTGCTCATTTTCTTCACTCCGTGCTTACCCCCATCTCTCCTCCACTTCACCCTTCCATGTCACTCCAGTCTCAGAAAAACCTGCCCTTGCTGCCAGTCTCCACGCTATGCTCGAGCACAGTCTCGCCATCATGGTCATCAAAAGCACCAGGCCTATCGATGTTTCGCGGGATAGGTCGATCAAGCGCGTCAAAACGGCGACCCTGAACCCTAGCCTTGACCCAAAGGGAACCAATGCGAAGAGCGCAAGCAGCAAAAGCCCAGAGCAGGCCTCCAAACGGAGCCGCTACGAAAGCGCCTAGGAATTGTCAGCACCCACGCCAAGGCAAAGAAGGTAAATGGGAGCAAGTTGGTGACTGCGTTCAGTAGGAACAATTGGAAATTTGTTGTTGCCCTCATCGTGTTTAGGGAGTACAGAGTTTCATCATTGCAGTTAGGGGGAGGAGAAAGAGATGGGAAATGGACTTACCAAAAGCACTCCAGTCATTCGCATACAATCCACCTTCCAGTAGCAGCAAGTTCCCCGCAAGTGTAACATCGCCATCGTAGTACACGAGTCCGAACAAGAAGATGGTGAAGATACCCCCAAGTCCACCGACAACAAAGTCGAAACCGCGGTAGAAATAAAACTTGTCGCTCAACCCAATGACAAGGCAAGGCACCACGGCCGCGCTAACCAAATCACTAATGAGGAAGATTTGCAAGATATCCGGACTGCGCAGCGCGACAACAACAACGGGGAAGATGATTGCAACGACGCAAGCGCGGATGACCCAGATATTAAGCTTGTTGCGGAAGAAATCGTTGCTCCCCGTGCTAATCATAGCAGACTGGAACGAATCAAACGCAGCCGTCGAAAGCGAAATGGTCATGACAAGAACGACGCCAACGACCCACGCGGGCAGCCGCTCGAGCAAGAGGAAGAAGGCCAAAGAACCGGTTTCTTCGTCGCCAATGGTGTATGCGCCAGACCATGCGGCGAGCATACCCCCGACGCCCAGCAAAGTGAGGATGATTAGCACACCAACGCTAGCAAGCGAGACGCCGATCCAAAGGTCCTTGTCCGTGCGGGCAGCAAAAGTGCGCATCCAGAAGCCGGACAGGAAGAAGTCGTTGGACAAGATGGCGACGGGAAGGATATAGATGAGTTGCCAGCCCAGGAGGCTGGATTCCAGGTATCCGGATTGGTCGATGAGGGAGCGGTCAATGTCTGTTTCTACGCCTACGGCGATGACGCCCATGATGATGAGGCCGATGACCATTACGCCTTGGATATTGTCTGTTACAAAGGAGACTTTGAAGCCGCCGAGCGCTGGATATTGTCAGCTGAGCCCTATCGCTTTATTAGGTGTTGATTCGTTGGGGGCTTACAGGTGTAGATGGTGGTAACGGCACATTCGACAATGACGACGGGGAGGCCATTGAGTCCGGTGAGTAGAGTGACGATCTGCTGGAGAGCTGAGAGCTCAGCTACCATGTACAGGAACATGGTGATGAGCGTGCAGATGCTCAGGAACAATCCTCCGATGGCTCCATAACGCTGTCTCGTCCACTCTGTCAGAACGAACCCTTCGGGACATTTCCGCCTGATGATGGGGCCGAGCGCACCAAACACCAACAATGGCAAAGATGAAGATAGCGCGTAGACCAAGAGGCCTTGCACACCCGCAATCGTAGCAATCTGAGGATATGTGAAGAGAATACCGGATCCGAGGGCTGTGAGCGTAGGAACAACCTAGGTCAGCTACTTGCATCAATGAGAGAGGGGTAGTTCTAGGAGGGGGAAAGTAGCGGCAGCACGTTCCTCACGCAAGTATTATCTTGATCGAGTTCTTACGGTACTTCTCAGCTTCTCCACCACCAGGCTCCAAGTTGCGACATGGGCAAAAAAAAAACCACGTGTCTTTGGAGCCCGGTTTTGGTTTCAGCGCCCGCAGTGTAGCCGCACAAAAGACCGCTTCCTATGCCACCTGCATGCAATGAGAACTACGATGAGTTTTATCGCGGCAGTGGTGATGGGAAGCGGCTTCTGTGAGAGATCTCAATACGAACCTGGAGGATTTCAATCAAGCTTCATCGAGGCTTGAAGATGGGTCTTGTTTGCAGATGAAGCATTTCCCTGTCGTCGTCGAACGCTGAACATGGTCGCGATAAAAATCGATACTGCCGCTGCCTTTCTTCATGTGCAAAGAAGCACACTGGGTGCACGAATGCACTCACCACTAGCGATGAAATTGAAAGCGAGCGGGACGCCTGTCTCAAAGTCAGTCAGGTCCTACTTGGATAGCATTGATGTCGGCGCAAGTTGCGCAGAGTTGGTGGGGAAAAGATTGCTGCAACTGGGCGCTGAGGCAGTGTCTGACCCTTCTGTGTGCGATTACTAGAAAGCCACTCGGTCTTGGACTGGTGTCGCAATCGCCATGCAACGTAACATCCCAGGACCCTATTCCAACCACGTTAGTTGCACCGTTCCCACTTGTCTTGCCCGCAAAGCCTTGGCTTGACTTACAGGAAAGCGCCGAGGGTGAGGTAGATGATAGCGTTGGACGCTGGTTGCGACGGAATACCCATGACTGACAAGATGGTATCTGCACGAGCTGGTGGTTGACGTTTGCAAAGATGGGTCGAAGAAGCACCGGGGCCACGAGGTCGGGAACATGCAGGGTTAAGACGGTTCGGCAACCAAAAACTTTTGCTTGCTACTAAACCCCGCGCCTTGCTTGTTGCATCGCTAGCGCAGCGCGGAGGAGATTCGCCGCTGATGTCAATTTGTTAGCAATCCTTCTAGCCGGCGCGCGTCCCCAGCCATGGACGCAGAAGCTCGTGGGGGTGCGTGAACGGGCTCGCATCGAGCTTGATGCATGTGACATGTGACGACGGTGATGAAGCATTAACATTTTGCTTGTGACTACTCGTGACATGGGACCAAGCCTCCCAAGTGAAATCTCGACAAAAAAACGCCCTATCGCTCCGTAACGCAGCAAATGCGACAATCTGATATTAAGTGTGCCGTCATGTCATAAGTCGTGCGCTTGACGTGCTCCGACCAGTCAGTCTACCATGCGTGTCTGTCCCAGTTGGGATCTGCCAGTCGTCAGTCATTGCTCGTCCAGCACCTAATAGACACGCACCCTGTACGAATGCGGCCAAGACTTTGCTGCCCGTCTGCAGCAGCGGGTGGCCCACGACAATCTGGAGGAAGCGCTGTAGGCCTTCGCGCCGGTGCTCAATCACATCGTCGGAGAAGCGGTTGGTGAGGACCTTGCCCGGCAGCGGTGGTATTGTGACGCGCGCCGACTCGCGCTCGAGGATATCGCGGAAAGCCTCGAACTCACTGTAGCGGCGGCGCACCGTCGACGACTTGAGCTTGAAGGCGGGGATGTTGGTTCGCATTACGATTTCGTAGGTTGTGTACATGCCACGGCCAACGCCTGGTGCAGCGCGTTAGTTGACACTCGCGCGATAGGCCGCATCTCTCTGCCTGCACTCACCGTGTGTCATTGGGTTTCTGACCTGTGCACGCGACAATTGTGAGCAAGGCTGCGGGACAAGACCAGGGCAAGGGAAGCGTCTAGCGGGCCTACCTCGATCTCCAGAAAGTTCTCGGGAGGGCCGTAGAGCTCCTCGAAGCTTTGCGATCGTGCATCGGGGAGCGACTGCATCGTGGGCGGCGTGTGCGAGTGTGGGGATGGGATATGGGCAGCTGGGCGAGAGTTGGTTGCGCGAGAGTCGGTGCTCTATGGCGGGGCTGGCGCGAACCAACTGGCCCGGCGCTGTGGTTTGGAGAAGGTGCTGGCATCTCAACGCACGTGCATGCATACACTCCGCCCTCCCAACCGTGGGGTAGTCGACCTCTCCGGACGCTCCAGTCTTCTCTTCTTGCATCTTCACGAACAAGCACTCGAGTCGCGACCCGTTCTAAAGTCCTGCCAAGACACAACTTCTTGGACCGCCTGATTTGCCGACTCTTGTCATCTCACGCTCTAAGCAACCCCTGTGTTCTAATCCTCCGTCGTCCAAATACGTCAACCGTACTAAGTGCTTACTTGCAGTTGTTCATTTCACGTCGCTGAGCCCTGTACGTCATGCCGTTGGTGTTGGCCTTGGCCTCCGCTCAGAGCCATTTACCTAGACATCTTCGCTGATTAGCTGCGAGCATATTGTTCAGTTCCAAGCTCGATATGCAATCCCGGTTCAAGTACAAGCTCTTCTTTTCCCCACTCTACAGACCCATCTCCAATGTCACAGTATCTCTGTCTCCATCTGGATCCAAAACCGGTGGGGCTTGTCGTCCCTGCCCAGGTGCTGTATTGTTGCTCGACCGTCTTACACCCGCAGACCGCAGCAGCGCCGAGCACTTTCCGATGCCATGATAGCAAACACAGGTGCAATATCGTAGTTCAGTTCTAGCTCAGGGGCTACAGCTTGTCGTAGGAAGACTCTGCTCGAGTACATAAGAGTGACCTTGTCCGCGAGGTTTACCATATCCAAACCTTACGCAAATCCGGCTACCTAATAGTACATACCGCACAACTCCATTCTTTTGTCCTAATCCCACCATGTCACTCTTTTTGTCAAGCTTGCTTCTCGCCGGTGCGGCGTTGGGTGCTCCTTTGCAGCCCTCTGACCCAGTCTTTACCAACGCGACCATCACCCCGCCCATCAACGGTAGGTTCTCTTGATAACCGGTTGGAACCATGTATACCGGTACCAACTTACTGTCCTCCAGGCACTACCCCTTCTCCTCTTCAGCCTGGCATCGTGTCCAACTGCGATGAATACTACTTCGTGAAGCCCGGCGACATCTGTATCGACATTGCCAGCGCCAAGGGCATCACTCTCGACGATTTCCTTACCTGGAACCCCCAAGCCGGCGAGACATGCACCAACCTGCTCGCCGACACTTACGCCTGTGTGTCCGTAGTCGGACATACCCCCACGCCTACCAAGCCCTCAAACGGAATCGAGACACCGAGGCCTATTCAGGAAGGCATGGTGGACAACTGCAACAAGTTCCATTTTGTCGAGAGCGGCGAGAGCTGCCCGGCTATCCAGAAGGAGTATGGAGTCAGCCTGGAGGATCTTGCCAAGTGGAGTAAGTTTCTCATGTCCTGGAAATCGCTTTGAAGATGGTGGCTAACGTCATGTGCGTGATTAGACCCTGCCATCGAGGATGACTGCACAATGATGTGGGCAAACACCAACCTCTGCGTTGGAGTCGTCGCTTGATCTTCTTCTTGACATCGTCCGCTTCATCACTGCACTGAGCTGCCGCACCTTGCATCCAACTCCAGCCGTCGCCGGGTGTCTCTTAGTCTTGCTTGTAGAAGCCTCAAACCCCTGGCTTTAGAGTATTATCAACTTCCAGTATCATCATAGACAATCACTCTTCGCAGCCTGGCGCATGCTCGCTGCGAAGTTACTCAATCTAATATAATGTTTGGTCTGCTGAGACGCGCATGTATACCCCCCCATGACATAATCCTGGAACACTACCATGCTTCCAAATCATGCATTCTAGAAACATGTAATTTGCGGGTGGCTGCGCGACTTGCGATCATGATCTTCAATTCGATGCTCTCCATTGGTTGATTGCGGCAGGCTAGATCGACGACGCATGCAGGAGAGCTTTCCGGAGCAGCTTCCGACCACACAGTGCACGCGTGAACATCAAAGAACTGGAATCATTTGTGTGCTACCCCGCATCATCTAGAGCCATCTCATTCAGACTGAAACATGGAGAAGTCGACACTGTCGGCGAGGCGGAAGCTAAATGCTACCCATTGCGGGGTCGCAACGAGGACCACGCTGGTGGCTTAAGTAGACTGTCGTCCGTATACAAGCATCAGTCAGGAATTTACTACTGATCCATCAATATGAGTGGAACCAAGATCGAAACATGCCCCATGGGCTACCATCGGATTGAGAACATTCATAACGGCAAGGTAGCCAGCGGTACCATCAAAGCTGGTGGGCAAGACAAAAAAGCTCCCGGAACATACATCAAATGGAATGCGCCCGGTGTTGAAAATATCCCAGATGATGAAGAAGAAAAGATTAAGCAGGTGTCTGCTCAGTTCAATCGGTTCCAGATGATGAACTTCAATGAGCATATGCATTGTCTCAGAGGCACGCATCTGAAGACACAAGGTGTAAGTACACTTTGATCTTTCTTCCAAGTATTGGATATGCTAATCGTAAGTACAGTGCGTTATGGGCAAGTTTACAGTTCATGATAACCTTCCCGAGCATCTTTCCCAGGCAGAGTTGCTATCAGTCAATCAGTCAGTTGTCAGTTCATCTTTGCGGTTCAAACTGTCAGTCTGGAGGTAGTGAACTGACCTGATTGACTGCCAAGACATTTTTTAGAATCGCGAACTGAGACT